ATGAGCGAGTAAAACTCACTCATCAATGGTCATATATAGAATGATCTCAATCCTGAGTTATTACCAGACTCATGTTTATGGATTCGTGCCTTTTAACTTACTCGTTATAGATTTTGAAATTATTAAATTCCATTCCTTCTATCTTGGAGACATGATTAAGTCGATAGCCAGGAATGTTAATATTACGAGATGAAATCCATTCTTTCTTGAAAATGAAATAGATAAATAATTCCCTTAAGGTTGTTTCGGTACTTGAATATGTAACGAGCTCGTATTTATGAATTTGTTTTATGAATATACAATTCATCAGAGAATTAATAGGACTCAAGGAGAAAGATGTAATTAGAGAAGTTAACAGATTTCACCTAGCTGTAATTATGAATTATTTAAGGAGAAAGATATGGATGTTTCACAGATATAAATAAATGTCTATGGTGCAATTCCAAATTTATAGCTCAGTAAGTTTAGAATTAATAGAATTAATTAATTAATTAAAGAGTTTGATTAATTATTATTTTTATTGGAGCTTGATATTATAGGTCCATGAGTCCACTCGTCGTCCTTGTAGTTTTATAAGACACTAAGGGTAAAATGAGAATTTAAAATTATGGAATTCTAAATTAAATCACTCGAAAATAACCAATTGAGAATTAATTGGATATGAAATAATGTGATTGTCTAATATTAAATTTTGAAACACACATGTGGGCAAGACCACATGTTATACACACCCAGCATAGGAGGAATCCTTCTGGGATTCAGTTGCTTACTTTCTAAGCTATCCAGTTTACTTATTAGATAAGTTATCCAATTAGAATTCAAGTTAAATTGAAGTTTGACTTTAACGAGATTTGAATTTGAGTCAAAATTAGACAAAAGGATAAGCAGAAAATTTTCCTCCTTCTACTGGTCAGGGAGAGATTTCCTATGGTGGCCGGTTTTCTACAGATAGAGGAAAGAGAAAATTATTCTAAAAGTCAACTGTGAATTTATTAAATAAGTTGTTATCTTCATTACTTTATCTTTAAGTTAAAGAAAAGAGCTCTCTTAGAACTCTACAAATTGGATGTTACAGAAAATTAGAAAACACAATTTTTACTCTCTAATTGCTATAGTGGCCGGTTTTCATAGAGAGAAAAGAGAGAAAAGTTTTCCCATTTTCAGTTCCACATTGTACATGCATTGATGTTCGTGGAAGACTTGTCAGAGAGTGATAATTGTTATCTCTGATTTCATATGTGCACCCATTCTTGGAAGAATTAAGGAATTGGCAAGGAAGATTCTTAGTAATCTGACATTGAACTGTCCGAGGTCAAATAAATCAAGTTACCATGCTTACCCTTCTGTGTGTGAGAGAGCTGCTCTAGTATATATGCTTACCTAGGCTTCAAAGTGTAATCACTTATAAACACCACAAAGGCTTCATTCCTAGCCAATGTGGGTTTTTACAATTTCCAACTACCTTAACCATTCTAAGTGACATACTTAGAACATCAATTTCTCATTCACCCAATATCCATTTTGAGTGTATGAATATTCGATTTCAATCTCCTCGTGATGGAGAACGCAAATCTATCGAGACCAATCCTAAAAACTAATTGGGCCCCATTCCCAAATGGGCCTCCAAATGGGCATTTAAAATGGCTAATTAAGCCATTTTTTTCAACAATCCCCCACATGAATGAAAATTGAATGATGACGAGAAAAACACAGACTCGACACGGTGATAGAGTTCTACGGTCGATGCCTGCAAAAGATAGGTAGACGTTAACCCGTGAACCTTCCCTTGTGAGAATACATTAACTTTATTGGCTGACCAGTAGACGCGATGTCCTTGAACTGTTCTGCCTTGGTGTAAACGTTAATATACCTCACACAGACATCTTCCTGACATAGTTCACTTCTCATGGTTATGTTTGTTTTGGCCATGAACATCTACCAGGTTTTACAAGAGTTTCTAAAGAATTGAGCCCTCACAATTCTCCTTTGAAGCGGCCTTACTTCTCTCTCACATAGGTGATTTAGGTGATTTCTTAATGTAGAGTAACCTGTATTACTCCGCTTAGATTTCTAACATATCTGATGCATAAGAATCATTAAAAACCAATGTTTAACCTCTTCTCGTACGGGTTTCACTGTTATCATCATAGGAATAGGCCGGGGTTACCCCCGTAGCGAACTCAGCTGGTTTATAGTCCTATTGAACCTAGATATTGGGATCTCCAGTAAACTAGGTTGGGTTTCCACTTCTTTGACCTGTTTATTACATGTTTTCTCAACTTGATCTCTATTCAGTCCTTTGGTCAGCAGAACTGCAATATTGTCTTTCGACCTTATATAGTCAATGGCTATGAGTCCTGTTGAGATCAGTTGTCTAATGGTATTATGTCGACGACGTATATGTCTAGACTTACCATTACACATCGTATTATGTGCTCTACCAATGGCTGATTAGCTATTGCTGTGTATGTAAATTGCAGGTACAGGCTTTGGCCAATCCAGAATGTCCTCTAAGAAATGTCTAAGTCATTCAGCTTTTTTACCACATTTATCCAAATTGACAAACTCAGCTTCCATCGTGGATCTGGTTATTACCGTTTGCTTAGAGGATTTTCATAAAATAGCTGCACCACCCAAGGTAAATACATATCCACTGGTAGCCTTAGAATCATGTGTATTAGATATCTACCTTGCGTCAGAGTATCCTTCTAAAATAGCAGGTTCTCTTGTGTAATGCAGTCCATAATCATGAGTATATCTTAAGTACCTTAGTATTCTCACAATTGCTTTCTAGTGGTTATCTCCTGCATTACTCGTGAATCGGCTTAATCTACTTATAGTGAAAGCAATATCAGGTCTTGTACACCTCATTAAGTACATCAAACTGCCAATCACTCTAGCATACTCCACCTGGGATATGATTTCTCCTCTGTTTTTGGACTTATAGGAGTTCTAAATTGAATTATCTAGAGATCTTTCATTGTCCGTTGAAACACTTAGGTCTACCCGGGGTTAAATTGGTTGAGTGAGATTGATTCGGTACACACTTACATTTTGATAGTCTTGAATGGGGTAAAATTGGTACTTGATGTTGAAATTCTAGAAAATCTCAGTATTTGCATTTCTTTTGAATTTTTGAACTTTGCGTGGCTTTTGAGATTTATGTCTATGCATTGAATGGATACAAAACTCGCACTTTGGTTTTTAAGTCTATTGTTGGTTTAAATTGTGGTGTTGTTTTTTGTCTTTATTTTTATTTTCTTTTTTTTTGCTTGAGGATAAGTAAATGTTTAAGTTTGGGGGTGTTTGATGAGTGAGTATTTTACTCACAAATCACGTGCTTTTGAACTTAATTATTTGTGATATTCTCAAGCATTTATGTTAGTTTGATGCGTTTTTATTTTGTTTTTGTAGGTTGAAGTTAAAATGGAATAAAAGAGCTTCAAGGACAAAAAGGTAGCAAAAAAAGATGTTTTGAGGGCTACACTAAGGAGAAATGGCGCTGCAGCGGGCGTCTGGAGCCAATTCTACCCAAGGCTATGCAAATCAGCCGCTGCAGTAGAAAAACCATCCGTTGCTGCGGTCACGCCCGTTTTGCTAAGGTTTTTTTTTTCCAAAAAACCTGGCGGCGCTGTAGCAGGAGTTACATCCGTTGTAGCGCCTATACATATAATGATGTCATTTTAAGGCACATTTTGAGGGGATATAAAAGGCAAATGGGCTGAGAATCAAAGTGGGGGAAAGAGAGGAAAAAGAGGCACAAATTCCCTAGAGAAGAAGAAGCTGTGGAGGCTCAAATCCTATGGTTTTATTGAAGATCTTTGAAGAAGATGGTGGATTCAAGCTTTAAAGATCATTCTTCCAACATAGTTCTTCATTCTCCCTTTATTTCCTTTTTAGTTTTTAGATTTTATTTTTGGTTATGAATTCTACTATGTTGAGCTAGATTTTATATTCTAGGACTTGATGTAGTCTTATTTGAACTATTTTTTGACTATTTTGTTAATTATTAGTCAATTTCTATTGCTTATTCATTTGTGTTTCTATGTGCTTAATGCTTCTAATTTGTTGGTAAGTGAATTAGATAATCTTATATTGTGAATTTGATGCTCATGAGAGATTGAGTTTATATTTTAAAATTAGAAAAACACAGTTTATGTTGTTGTGAGTCCGGTAGAAGATCAACACTTAGATAATCTATTTAAGAATCTTAGTAGTTGTGAGACCAGGAGGTGATCAATACCTTGAAATTAATTGAAGGGTTAAGCTTAATGATTTGTAGGTAGACAATTTAGATAGGGATATCAAATTGGATACTTATGTCTATTATCTCATTTGACGCTAGGAGAGATAATGAGGTTAGATTAGGTCACTTGATAATGAATAGAATAAAATTGGTTAGCAATTACTCAATAGGAGGAACATAGGAATAGTAAAGCGACGTCAAGTACCTAGAACATTTGTCTATAGAAGTTCCCATACCGTAATTTCGTGTTTATATTTGTGTTTATTTTTAGTTTAATTTCATTTATTACGATTGCTTAAATAAAGTTGAGTTGTAATAATCATAGTACTTAGTAATCAATTTAAAAGTCAATCTCGTGAAATCGATACTTTACTCATTCTTTATTACTTGTTCACGCTCCGTGCACTTACCGTAATCAATCGCACCCGGTAAATCGGGGCGCTAACACCTATTAATTTTATTTAATTATCTTTCTATTTCTTAATGTATTTTACCTTAAATCCTAAGTCATATATATCATAAATGCTTTCTAAATCTTTTATATGGATTACTTTCTTACTCTCAAATATTATTTTCCACAGTTCTTTAAAAGTATTTTTTTTTTATTAAATGTAATTTAAAAAGTATTTTTTTATTAAAGGTTTTTTTTTTTTGGTTGAATTTTTAGTTTTACCGCAACTAAAAGTAAAAACTCTTTCTTTCTAATGTTGTTGTTGTTTTTTTTTTTTTTACCACAACTTATTTGGGTCTTTCTGGGTTTTGCTGAATTTTTATCAAGTGGAAAAGGGTTTTGGCTATTGTCTAATCCGACCCTTTTGGTCGAAGATGGAGGCGATGATAAAGAAATTCCAGCAACGGTTCAGGAAGGTTCGAGAAGAAATGAATCGGTGGGATGAGCTTCAATCTCTCTTTGTTTTACAGTTCAGAAACGCCTCTTCAATCATAGAGAGATTACAGGTTTTTTTTTTTTTGTTGATATAATCACCAAACATTTATTTATTTATTTATTTATCTTATTTTGATTGTTGTGTCAATATTTTTGTGTATTTGGGCGCAATCAGGCACTTCAGGATTCCAAGAATTATGGTAATTTGAATGGTGTTAGTGGCATCAAAGACGCGGTATTGATGAAGCAGATGGAGTCGTTACAGAATATTTTCCTTTCGATGGCAAAGACCTTGTAAGTTTTTCTTTTCATGCGGTTTTCATGGAAGAGAGCCTGGGGTTTTTGTTTCTTAAAATAAAATAAAATCAAATAAAAATCTGGGTTCATTTTTCTCCGTTTCGGTGTGCTATTGGAGCATGACTAATTGGAATATTATGTTGTTTAATCCAGTAGTAAGAGTAATAACAAAGATTAGAAATTAAAATTAGAAGCTTGATGATAGATTTGGATATCATCACGGCTAGAACAAGAAGAAATTAGAGGAATTTAGTGCTTGATATTGTTGAGGATATCAAATTTTTTTACTGCAAATATTTTGTACCTGCGTTTAGTATTGCCTATGGGAGAATTGTTCTGCTAACTCATTTGTGTAAAGGGTAATTAGAATTATTTGTTCTGTTGAGGAGATTACTAATTTTCCTTCCATCGAGGAGAAATTGAAGTCTTTTGCTTTTGCATATTCTATGCTACCAATTTCAGGGAAGAGTTTCATGGTATTACTTTGTCTCTTGGGAAGATTCACCGTGATGGTAGGCAAATGGTCAAAGGTGGTACTAATCGGCTGACTGAAAAACAATTGCAGCTACGCATTGGGATCAAACCGACTCTTGCATATTGCTTGGATGGGCTTATGACTCTTCATGAGATGTATCAATCTGAGTATGGAACTATTACCCCCTAGACGTTTTTCTGCAGTTTAATTTATTTCTATGTCTCTGCATCTTTCTTGTATCACAAGATAAAAAATTTGGAGCGATGCCGGAGATATTAGTTCACAAATGAAGTATCAGGGGCAATGGTATTTTTGTTAGAAGGATAGGTGACTTCTTCAATTATGGACAACTGATTCTTTTCTTTCTTTTTTATTTTCCTCCCAATTTTGACCGGGTGGTTTATATTTTGGCGTTATTTATTTTGCAAACATGGGGAGTGGATTCTGCCAAAATAGGGGCTTTATTTTGGGAATGATTATCAAGCACTTATGTAGAATATTTTGCAAAAAGTATAGACAAAAATGTGCATGCCTTGAACTTGTCTGTTTAAATTATGTTAGGTTCAAAATCTATGTGATAGTTGTTCCTCATTTGCCAGGTACAATCTTAAAGTATCGCTGTTTTCAGCACTTTCAGCTGTTACCTTGAAACCCAAGTAAGCAACTACATTTCGTAGACGATAATTGCAACAATTCTCATTTTAATTGCTTCTGAAACACAACTTGCCTTAGCCATGTTATTTATAGGTTTGTGTTCACCAAACATAATGCTTAAATGCTTTTTGTTCGGAGTAGTGATTGCTTCCAAAGTTTATGAACGAGTCAATGACTGAATGCACATTCAAATTCCCATCTACCATCTTCCAAAAAAATAAAATAAAATAAAATAAATTGTCTTACCATAAGTTTTATAATTTTGGAAGGTAAATATGTAGTACGGTTTTTATATGGGAGTGTACTATGCATTTATTCATTTTATTTGTGTTTCTAAGTTTTAGTCCTGTGCTTACTCATTAAAATATATGTTTGTGTGTGTGTATCCTTGAATTGGTAGTCTCGGTGACCTAAATGCAATCCAGCAATTCTTGGTTGATCAGCCTAACATTCCCATGGAAGAAGGTAGGATGCAACAAAACTTATGGAGTTTAATTTGACTGTTTTGAGACTTTGTTGATTCCTTTAAAATTGTATATCTAATTTTTGAATTGTCTTTGCAGTTCAATTCATGTTTGATATCATATTTGCGGAAGATACCACTTAACTTTTTCCCCATATTCAAGTTCCAAAATTCTGTAGCTTTGGTCACCTAAAATTGTGTAAGAGATGGAAATTCTTGTTTTTTCATGGAGACGGAAATCCCGATTTTTGTGGGGATTCGGTGTACTCATACGTCTGGTTCAAGGAGTCTGGCGCTTTCATGTTCTGAAGCTCACAAGACCTCGAATTCTTTAAGGAAATTTATTTATTTATTATTATTATTATTTTTAAATTCTTAACTAAAACTCATCTCTCTGCCAATAGTGATGTAACACCCCTGGATCTCCAAAGCAGCTTGCTGAGAAAAATGCTTGTCATTCTCCTTCTACTTTAGTTATACACAGAAAAAGATTAAAAAGAAATGGTACAGGGTACCGAGTATGTGTGTATGTAAATATACATATATACACGTTAAGATATTTTTTTATGTACATTCTTTAAGTGAGTGCACTAAGTTTGAGGCCAAGCTACGCCATATTTGATGTCATTCTTTGCTTATGTTCTGTTTAGTAGTTTGTGGTGATGCACTCATGGCTAACTACTTAAGCCCTTGATCTTGGAATCACTGTTTTGCTCAAAATCCCCTATTTTATTAGAAAAAACAAAGCACTAATCAATAGTACTGGTACAATTTTCTGAACATTTTGGGGAACGAGGAAGCTTTCTTAGGCTCCGTTTGTTTTGTTAGTTCAAATCATAACTTAAATTTTTGAACAGTGTCATTTCTCACAAAAATTCATATTCAACAAATTTTGTTATAGTGTTTTCTCTCAAATGATTTGCTCTTGAACTCAAATTTTCAATTCGAATGAGCGAAACGAATGAGGTATTAGTTCCCTTTCATTTTCTTGGGGAGCCAAGACTAGACTGATGGAACCTCTAACGTCCTAGAAATACATGTGAAAAGGAAAGAAGAAAATTAATCTTCAACGTAAGAGACCGAAATAAACTTGAAGGTTAAGATCATTCGGAAAGTAAGATGTTATAAGCAAACATTACTCAATAAATTACAAATAAAAGTAATTACAAGGTTGTCCAAAAGCAAGAATCTTGTATATCTTGTAATAGATGATGGTACTCCAGATTTTCGTAATCTGCATCAAGTTTGATTTGGTTTGTCACAAAAATCAGGATTGCATAAATTTCTTCGGACTTAGGATGTCCTTTGTCATGAGCTATAAATCTGTTGAGCATTCCAGATACTTCCACAAAGCTAAAACCAGGAAACTTCTTAACTCCTCTCCTTTCCATGGCTTCTCTCATGTTTCTTGCCTCATCCCAACGCTTGAAAACTGCATAAACATTTGATAGCCCTACATATCTACCATCATGATCTGGCTCAATCTCTATGAGTTTCCTTCCAACCAATTCTCCGAGCTCCAGTTTTCCATGGTTCATACATCCACTGAGTAGGGCACCTAACATTGAAGCTGTTGGTTCAATTGGCATTTGGCAGACGAACCGAAATGCGTCCTCTACTTGTCCCGCACGTGCCAAAACATCTACCATACACGCATAGTGCTCGCTTTTGGGTGTCATGCCATGTTTAGCAAGACATTCAAAGAAATACCACGCTTTCTTTACCAAGCCTCCATGAGCACAGGCACTCAGCAAACACAAGTACGTGATTTCATCCGGAAGAATTCGAATCCTTTGCATTTCATCGAACAAGTCAAGCGACTCCTTTACCAATCCATGCGTGGCGAGCCCTCCGATAATTGCATTCCAAAGCAAAACATCAGTTTTTCGCATTGAACTGCTACGAAACAAGCCTAAAGCCTCTTCTATCTCCCCACATTTCGCGTACATGTCCACCAGTGATGTTTTGAGCACCAAGGTTAAAGGCAGCCCATTCTCAAGGATATACCGATGCATTCGGCTTCCTTGCTCAAGAGCGCCTAAGTGAGTGCATGCGCACAAAACGCTCACCATAGTCACATCATTCGCTTTACCCCCTGCAGTTTGCATTTGCTCGAAGATTGCCAAAGCCTCCATATACTTTCCGGCCTTAACATACCCATCAATCAAACAACTCCAAGAAACAACATCCTTCACTGGCATCAACTCGAACACTTCCCGTGCTGAATTCACATCCCCGCATTTCGCATATCCATCCACCATCGAATTCCACGAAACCGAGTTTCTGTGACTCATACTATCAAATATCTTGCGCGCATACGCAATGTCCCCACACGACGCGTACATATGAATCATTGAATTCTGAACAAATCTATCAGACTCGTACCCATGTTTGGAAATGCAGGCATGAATTGCGACGCCAAGTTCTCGCTTCATCAGGCACGCAGCCGCTTTCGCAAGAAAAGGGTACGTTAAATAGTCCGGTGAGACCCCGTTTCGCAACATTCGGATGAAAACCAATATGGAACTGTTTGGATTTCTGCTCTTGGAGTAACCTCTAATCACTGTGTTCCAATAAAAGGTTGCTGGACAGGAGAGTTGTGACAGAAACCGAAAAGAATAGTCGACGTTACCCGAATCGGATAGCGCCGAGAAAGAAAGGATTTTGGAGGCGAATGAGTCTTCCTGGGAGAGGCCACAAGCGAGCAGCAGAGCATGAATCTGCTTAAGCTCAGACATTGATTGACATTTATCAAGAAGGGCTGTTAGTGTTTGATTTAGAGTGCTAAGTTTGGTTGAAAATGGCACCTTCAACATTTACAAATGTTGTGTGTCTGCAGAGGAACGTTTTCAGATTTTTGAAGCGTCAAGATTTTGGAGGGAAAGGTGTGGAAACAGAGCGCGCATCGGCAGGAGAAGTGGGAGTTTTAAATCACTGCAAAACCACTGCCGTTCGATCATGAAGATCCAACGATAAGAGAAGTCTGATTGCATAACAGTGCTGCAAAACGAAATATACGGGAAGATAGGCAGATGACATTTTTCTGTATTTTTTTTTTAATAGCGTCAAACTTTAGGAAATTTCTATGGCTAATATGTTGAAATTTAGGCATCGTTTGCTTCGCATATTCGAGTTTTCAATTCAAATTGAGATGTGACATTTTTTAAGAACTTTTATGGGACGTTTGGTTCATAGATTCAGAATCATGATTCAGAACCATTCTCGTTTTACGTGTATTTTTTGTGAGAGAAAATACTGTAGCGAGCCACGAACCATGATTCAAACTATAGCACGAATCCCCCTTCCAAACGCACGCTTAATTTTTACAAAAAAAGTTAAATATGACATTTTCTAAAAATTTTTACCGTAAAAATTTAAAACTGAAAACTCGAATCAATAAAATGAATAAAACCTTAAAAGACTCACAATAAATTCCGCGAAGGTCCATGTGTCCCTTTTACATCTAATCATAACTCGATGAATATAATTTTAAAAACAACCCTTATTTTTAAAATATAATTTACCCCATATTTTTCTATAATAACGAAAATACCCTTTATTTTATAATTTCTTATAAAACAAACCTTACATTTTGTTTATTTTTGAATTATATTATAAAATTGAATCTTTATTTTTATAGATTAACGGTTTTATAATTTTTGTGAATTATTGAAAACTTATCTCAAACTTAAACCACCCAAACATAACCACTCAAGCCACTTATAAATGATTTAGTTTAATTTGATTTTTATTAAAATATATCAAACTGTCCAGGCTATTCAAAAGAAAAAGTTATTTTTAATTTGGTCAATGGTTTCTAAAAAAACTTCCCAAACTGAGTGCAAACACCCCTAACTAAAATTAATCAAACAACGGTCATTTTTCTTATTTTACAAACCTTCGATCATTTACTTAAAAACCCTAAAAATAGTTATTTACTCCCAAATCTCAAGATATGGATAGAACTGGATTTATCATTTTCATTTTTTTTAAGGATGATTGAAAACTATTGGGTGAGTTTATAAATTAATTAGAAATTGCAAATGAAAATTTCTATAGAAAAATGTGAAGTGTGAACGATAGATAACCACGAAAAAAAGTGAGTTTTACACTTTTTTTTTTTCAGGGTGTGTTACAATCATGTTGATACCAAGTTGATATTCTTAAGTACATTCTTTCCAAAAAAATATCGAAGTACTACTATATTAAGTGAAGGTGGAAAATAGCATTTACGTAATCTTCTTATTGGAATTTATTTTCTTTCCCTTTCTACATGGCACAAACTCAAGTTTGCTGACACTGGAGAAATCCTAATACTTCAGAAGCATTCTTCATTCCAGCCCATAACTTCAAAGAGTGGTTAAACCAAGTTTATGATTCAACTGCATAAATGTCTGGAATCTATCCCGAGAAAACAAAAATAAGATATCTGTGAATTTTCTAAAACCCAAAATTCTTTGCTTTCACAAATGACCTTCCATGCCATTGAAAAAAGACATCTCTGTTTTGGCATTCCTTAACAACACAATAATCATCATCAATCTACATCTTTTCGCTGCAACCAGTAACCAAAATCATGTGCGTTTGGAGTAAGGATCCGTGCCATGATGCAAATCATGATTCGTGACTCGTTATAGTGTTTTCTCTCACAAAAAAACACACGTAAATCGAGAATGGTTTTGAATCATGATTCTGAATCTATGAATGAAACGTTTCTTCCCGCTGTCGACAATTCTACTCATCCAAACCTTAAGTCTTTCAAGTAGATTCCCATTAAGTCAATCAAACGTTCTTGTTGTTCCATCCCATCAACAAATGAATAACCAAACAGACCGCCTCTTTTAACCCCTTCATGTTCCAAAAATACGAACAGCAGCGAGCAGGCACCGCCTATTTTGTGTTGCCATAACAGAAAAGACCTGATTTGTCCAAATTCATTGCTTGCTTCCATCAAGAAGATTATTGTTCTCACATTGTCTCAATCACTTGGTTGCTTTACAAGGAAAAAACCTAAACCATTTACCACCACCAAACGAAGACTTCAGATTTGATTATGTTTTTTTTTTTGAATCAAAGTATAACGATTCGCTTTCTCAGAGAGCGAAAGAATCTGTGGAGTACCCTCTTGGATATATTTACACAAAACTAAGACCAGAAGACTTCTTAAGCCCTCTCTTATCCATGGCTTGTCTTGTGATTCTAGCGTCATCCCAACGCTCGAAAATGGCGTACGCATTTGACAAGCCCACATATCTACCATAATGATCTGGCTCAACCTCTATAAGCTTCTTTCCAACTATTTCCGCAAGATCCAGTTTTCCATGGTTTATACACCCGCTCAAAAGAGCGCCTAATGTTTCAGCTGTTGGCTTAGTGGGCATTTTGCAGATAAATTGAAATGCCTCTTCTAGCCGTCCTGCACGTGCCAAAACATCCACCATACAAGCATAATGCTCACTCTTGGGTGTCATACCATTTTTGTTAAGACATTCAAAGAAATACCAAGCTTCGTCTACCAATCCTCCATGAGCGCAGGTGCTCAACAAGCACAAATACGTGATCTCATCTGGAACAATAGGAGTCATTTGCATTTCCTTAAACAAGTCAAGTGCCTCTTTCACCAAACCATGTCTTGCCAGTCCTCCAATCATTGTGTTCCAAATCAAAACGTCCATATTTCCCATAGAATCCTCACGAAACACATCCAAAGCTTCTACTATTGCCCCGCATTTTGCGTACATGTCCACTAGCGATGTTCTCAACGCCAGGCTCAAAGCCAGCCCATTCTCAACTACATAATTATGCATCAATCGTCCTCGTTCAAGTTCACCCAAGTGAGCGCACGCGCACAAAATACTCACCATAGTCACCTCATTCGCTTTGATATCGACAGCCCGCATTCGCTCGAACAGAGCCAAAGCCTCCGAATAATCCCCCGCCTTCACATACCCATCAATCAAAGAACTCCAAGACACAACATCCCGCTCCGGCATCAACTCAAACACTTCCCTCGCTGATTTCACATCACCACATTTCGCATACCCGTCCAACATGGCAGTCCACGAAACCAAGTTTCTTTGAGTCATTTTATCAAACACCTTGCGTGCATATTGGATATCGCCACAAGAAGCATACATATGAATCAATGAGCTCTGGATAAAAATATCCGATTCATACCCATGTTTCGCAATGACGGCATGAACCGTCTCACCGAGTTTTCTATGCAGCAAAGAAGCCGATGCCTTGGTAAGAAAAAGGCACGTGAATTGGTCCGGCGTGAACCCGTCCTTCGACATTCGGACGAAAACCGATATCGAACGGTTTGGGTTTCTGGTCTTGGAGTAACCTCTTATTACTGTGTTCCAATCGAAGGTTGTCGGACTGGAGAGCTGTGATAAGAAGCGGAAAGAGTAATCGACATTACCCAGATGGGATAGTGCCGAGAAAGAAAGGATTTTGGAGGAGGCGAACAAGCTTTGTTTGTGGAGGCCTGAAGTGAGTAGCAGAGCATGAATCTGCTTGAGCTCGGACATTGATTTGCATTTTTCAAGGAGGGGTATTATTAGAGTTTGAATTGAACTCGTGTTTCTACTTTGGAATGGCGATTTCAACATTCTACGGCTAGTTTTCTGCCTTTCGTTTGGATCTTCGAAAACATAAAGCTGGATTGCCTATTGGAGGGAAAGTACTTGCCCAGCCAGTAAATAATTAGGGTTCATTTAATTCGTTAATTTGAGTTAAAATATAATTTTATATGAAAATTTTATACTGTAGTAAAAAAATTAAATATGATTGTCTTTAAAAGTTTTTTACTATAATAAAACTTAAATTTTAAATTCGAATTAATGAAATAAACAAGACCTAATAAAAAAATTACTAATATCATAATTCCTCAACTTTAAATATAGTTTTTATCCAAAAAATAAAAAACAAAAAAACTTTTAATATAGTGATATTTGGGTTAATCACACACAAATGGTTTTTTTGAGGTTTACACATAATTACATTCGTTAAATTTTATAAATTGCTCTTCAATTTTATGCCAAGAGTATTGCAGCACCAAAAAAACTTCCAATAACTCATCGAATAAACGATTTCCTTGTGTCCATCAGCAAAAAAAAGGGGGAAAAAAATATTATGTGTGCCGTCTCACCTTTTTTTTTTTTTTTTTTTCTGATGGAATACATAAAGCTAAATTTGTAGCAACAACAAAAAAGAGAATGGCACTCTGGTAAATAAAATCAAAGAAAATAACTTTGCATTTAATTTGTTTGTTTGAGAAGGTGAGGATGCCACATATTAAAAGACTAAGATAGCATCTGAAAAAGAGTTTATAAATAGAGTATGTATTTAACATTTCTCCAGTCAAAAAAGAAATGTTCAGAGACCAAAAAATCAAAATATTACTATATTTAAAGTTTAGGAATTGGCAGTGCCGATTATCCTAATAAATAATAAACAAATGAAATAAGTGTCCAAAAACCAAGTATAGTTTCTTATATATCCCAAATAAATCTTCATTATTGACATAAGGTGAACCCCCCTAGAGCTAAGTAGGACTCACACCTAGTGGGAGTTACCTTATATAAGTAGCAATAAAAAAAATTTGAAATTGTTAAAATGTTTAAACCTTAGGCTAATTACATGAATACATTTTTATGAATAAGCAAAAATTTACATTGAGAAAGAAAACTTACAAAACTAAAACATAAAGAGCCTAAGAAAAATAAGCAAAAGCAAACAGAAAAAGTTAACAAAACCATCAAAAAAGCAACCTATGAGAAAAACCTGAGATGTACCATCAAAAAATAAAAAATAAAAAGAAAAAATTGATTGAAATATCTCAATCAACAACAAATCAAGGACTTAGAGTGAGATCTGGGCATGTACTAGGGATGAGATCTTTTTTGGTGCTATTAAAATGGGTTGAGTCTGAAGACACATTTAGCACAACACGACACGTTAATTGGACTTGTCTTCTTGCTAATTGCTATAGAAGATTTGAACAAAATATGAGTACAAATATCGAGATGCATTACTTTTTAAAGTTTAAAATAATTGATATTTTTTTAAATGGTGTAATATCATATAATTCATGGTTGAGAATATGCCAACATGCCATTGAGTCTAGACATAGTGGTTAAATATATTTTGATAATAGTTGAGTTTTTTCTTAATCAATGCTTGAAATAAGTAGCAAGATTAAGCATTGGATCGATACGAATCGACATAAACAAATAGTGGTTTGCATTAAGCAAATATGATTATACGATTGTAACTAATTAAAGTGGATCATACCAGCACGACACGACCCATTTGACAGCTCTTCGTGAGATTAGGTGCTTAGTGGTGGTGGGCATCAAATGTGAGATGCGTTGTTCTTAATTTTTTTTTTTATGTCAAAGTTATTTTCAAACATTATTTGCAGGTAACTTTTCTTTTACTTTTTTTTTTTTTGTTCAAAAGATGCAAAATGGATGAAATTGAAACGTATTTTGTAAAATCTAAATGAAGTACTTGTATTTTCTTAAAATAGAGGAATAAATTAAGAACAAACTAAAACTAAAAGGTAAATTTATGTAACTTCCCTTGAACTTTTCAAAGATTGATACTTTACCTTAAAATCATATATTGATAAAATACCAAATTTTAGATGTGGAGTTTCTGGTTTCTTGCTGCCATTATCCTTTCTTTTGTTTTTTTTTTTTTGTTTTTTTGTTTTTTTTTTGTTTTTTTGCCTTCGTTAGTTCTTAAGTTCCCATTGTAGTAGTAATAAAGTTCTACTAATTAACGTCCATTTAAAAGTTGATGAAATGGCCTCTTTAAAAGATTTTGAGAGAATGAAAACTTTGTGAAAGGTTTTCCCAATTTTATTGATGTGAAAAACGTAGAATATATATCTTTGTACAATCTTTACAAAGGAAAGAATAAGAATCTTCTAGAATCAATAAATAGTAAAGTCTAAACGAAATAACTATTTTGATCATGGGCATGAGTTCCCGGAGACTGGAGTAAACGTTAATTTTGGCTCAAAAATCTTGTAATTGGTGTTGAAAAATTGATGCTCGGAGACTTAAAACACGTATGAGATACGGTTTCTTTAAATCGTTATTTGTCCCCTTTCGATTCGGATTTCAACAGCAAATCGCTTCTAGAAAATTACAAGTCTTTGGTGAATTTACAATAAACAAAGAACTAAAATTCAAAGAAAAAAAAATAAGAACAAAAAAGTATCTAAGAGAGAGATAGGGTTGCAATATTTTTATTCGTAGTCTCTATTATATTTTTATAAATTTTAAAAACACCCCTTCAGAGAAACTGTTATTTAAAAGTACGCCTCTACAAGCTGGCTACCCACGCCACGCGCGTGTGTGAACTACAAGGGTATGTCTCTAAGCATTTTCATAGGTCATTAAGAGATGTGGCACACTTTATAAGGTACTCAAAAGCCTTATGCCTTTTCTAGATTATGAAATTGAAAACTCGAATCGGTTAAATAAACGAGGTCTTAATTGTTTCTAGCCAACTCTGAAAAAAAAAAAAAAAAAAGAATATGAGAATCAAAGTACAAAGTTCAATGACATGCATGTGTGCAGCGGATATGCTTCATGATACGACCCTGTAACTAATAAAAATAAAGGATAGATATAGAGCATCGACCTCCATTTATAGGTTCATTTGTGGGAACCCAAACCTTTAAAGACACCAAATTGTGAGAGAAATACTCATCCACATTCCTTTCAGATTCGATTCAATGACTTAAATAGAGAGATTAGAGCCTAAAAATTAGGGAACAATATCCCATTAATTACCCATTAACATGACATGTTTAATACAAAAAATAATGCCTAAATATATTGGATAAACCCCATGACTCCAATAACTAACTATTGCCAATTTTAAATAAATAAAATCTGAAGGACAAATATATACATAATATATTTAAAATAAAAATGTAGATTCGTAATACTTTATCTATATTTGACCCTTTTTTTTGTTTTGTTTTCGTTTTTTTCCTCTTTTTAAGTTGTGGTGTCTAGAAGTCAACTAAAGTAGGTTGATGGTTTCATATCTCCACACCTAGAGAAGTATATATTTAAATATCTAGCAGTAGGGCGAAAATATGAGCCTTTTGTTGGGGTTCATATTAATCAAGGTGGTACCCGGATGGTATTGGTGTACTCCCAAGTGGTTTGATTGATAATATTTACGAGTAAATATCATATTTACCGGTTGTCGGTATTCGACTTAACTATAAGAAGGAAGAAGAGAAGGGTGGGAAGGAGAAAGAGTTGGGTGGTATTTTTATGTTTTTTTTTTTTTTTTGAAACAGTATTTTTAGGTTTTAATAGTGCTAGAAACTTAAGATATTAAATTATTCTATTTACTGCCCATTTTAAAAAATTATGCTATAAGTTAATAAGCAACCTTTTAAATATGTTATTCGACTCATTCTCCTTTTTTTTAAAGAAAGGTTATTAGCACTATTAGTCCTTAATTATAAGCATTTTGTTACTTTGCTTCTGAACCTTTCTTCTTGATAGATGACTCCTTGAAATTTGATTTTTTTTTTCTTTTTGGCAGTTTTAGTCCTTCACAAGAAAACTAAAGAAATACTTATGAAATTCAACAAAGATAATCACCTCCTAATCACATAGTAGCCTCTAGAAAATGTAAAATATTTTCTTCACTTTTGTTAAAAACACATACAAACTAGAATATCTTCCATTTAATAAAACTTTAACTTGCTATGCGAAAATATGTGATTACTTATATAAAAATTTAAAAAAATCTATTTTTTCAAATTTAGTGCCAGGACTAAAATTGTTAAAAAAAAAAAAAAAAAAAAAAAAAAAACCAAAGTTCAGGAAGCATTCTGCCTAGAAAAATGTTTGGGGATCAAAGTAATACAATGCTCATTCTTCAGGGACTAATAGTGATATTTTTTTTTTTGCATTTTACTCTTGGGCAAAAATCTCTTATTAGCATCCTTATCTTGCTCTTTTGTCCCTTCCCTTGTATCTGATCACAAGTTGCCTAGTTAAATTTACTTTGTTATTACCTTTAGTACGATATTGGCCCTTTAAAAATTAAACCGAGAAGCATATAAACATACCCATGTAATATATATACAAGATCCTTTAGCTAATTATTACAAGACAGATTCGCACAGAAAAGAACTAAAACAATTTTGGTTTGATTAAATGTCTTACTGGGTATTAGATTAATATTGAAAAATATTTATATAAAATTGCTTTCTTTAAACCTGCATGATTCTGGTTTAATTATAGAGCAAAACTTTACAGGGTGTTGTAACCACCAACCTGCTTAGTAGGAGAATGCATGGGTCATGGAATATTAATACGAAGATCAGTTTGTCTTGGTTTCATAAGTCAACAGTCAACGTTCATTATATTGGCATCCATATAGGATATATATATATATATATATATACACACATGTATGTATGTGTGTGTGTGCTTTCTCCATACTCTATAGCCAAAGCTTTTGTGGTCCTCAATTACAAGCTAAAATCTGCTGATTCTCAAACTCTGTCCTTATCTCCACAAGTCAACTTGCCATTCTTGGTTCAATCTATGTAAGACTTTCATATATTTTATCAGCTAATATTTGAAAGTTCATCTAACAAACACATAAAATATAGTTTGATTGTGGAAATATGAGATATAAAAATTCTTTGATGAATCACACAGATGGATTTTTTTCTTTTTTTTTCTTTTTTTCTTGACTTCAAAAGTGTGCTCATGCAGCAACCTTTCAATTCCTCCAAGGAGGTGCCATAACCGTGGCTTGGATGTCAACAATAGCAGGAAAATAAATTTTATATTGGTGCACTTGGGAAAAGTCTATATATCTTAGAAAATGAAAACAATAATTCAAACTTCAGAATTATTAATAGCCGTGGAATGCAAGGAATTGGTTTACAAAAACATAACTGAATACAACTCTTGTGTACCACAACTTCTGCAGAATTTCATAAGATACTACTTGCCTATCATTATTGTTAACCCATTTTCAGTTTCCTTAATTCTCCAAAGAAAAATGAAGCCTCATAAACTCAATCAATCTTCGTATTCTTCTATGTACCTTCAAGTGATTATCCTTTTTTCCATTAGCTTTTTGTGCTTGCAACTTATAACTCCTGCTGATGCCTTAGAAGGTGGAACTGATGGCTTAGCTTTGCTTGAATTTAAGAGAGGGATTGCTAGCGACCAGTTTGGCGAGTTAAGTTCATGGAATGATTCTACAAACTTGTGCAACTGGCGAGGAGTAACGTGCGGCCGCCGGCATAAAAGAGTTACCGAGTTGGACCTTCACGGGCTTCGCTTGCGCGGATCCATATCGTCTCACATTGGAAATCTCAGCTTTCTCAGGCTCATAGAACTCAGCAACAATAGCTTTTCTGGTGAAATCCCACCAGAAGTTGGCCGGTTGTTTAGGCTGCAATATCTCTATCTTGCAAACAACACATTTACAGGAGAAATTCCAGCCCAGCTCTCCAACTGTTCCGAGCTAAGGGAAATAGATTTCGGAAGGAACAGACTTCTTGGAAGAATACCTTCTGAGCTGGGATCATTGGCCAATCTTGAACTGCTTCAACTCGGAGCAAACAATTTGACCGGAAGCATCCCACCTTCCATTGGAAATCTCACATCCCTGGTGCATTTCTCTGTCCCATACAACAATTTGGAAGGAAGGATTCCCGAAGAGATTGGCCATTTGAACAACTTATCGATTCTTGCAGTGGCGGCGAACAAGTTCGCTGGTGAGTTACCTTCCTCCTTGTACAATGTGTCATCTATTACTATAATCTCTACTGCAAGCAACAGATTTAATGGCACCCTTCCAGCAAATATAGGCCTTACCCTTCCTAATCTCGAGTGGTTGGCCATTTCTAGTAATGAATTCTCGGGCCCAATCCCAGTTTCACTATCCAATGCTTCCAAGCTTGAAGCACTTGTTCTCTCCACAAACAATTTTGTTGGGGAAGTGCCAAGAGATCTGGGAAAACTTGTACACCTGTGGTGGCTTGGTTTTGGTACAAACTTTCTAGGGAGTAATTCAACTAACGACCTTGAATTTTTAATCTCTTTGAAGAACATTAGCTCGTTAGAAATCTTGGACTTCAGTGACAACCAATTTGGAGGTGTTTTGCCGGCATCTATAGCCAATTTGTCAACCACACTCGCTAGCCTATATCTCGGTGGGAATCGAATATCTGGAGTCGTCCCTGCAACATTAGAGAAGTACACCAACTTACAAGTGTTGGATATGTCAGCTAACCTTTTTACAGGCATAATCCCCTCTTATTTTGGTAGGTTTCCAAACATGCAAGGTTTGGATCTTAGTAGAAACAGACTGTTTGGACCGATACCCCCGTCCTTCGGTAACCTCACTCGATTGATTGAACTATACTTGTCCGGAAACAAATTTAATGGGAGCATTCCACCGAGTATTGGAAACTGTCAGAATTTGCAATACTTGGACATCTCCCAAAATAGTCTCACTGGAGCCATACCAAAAGAAGTCACTGATCTTTCCTCTCTTTCATTGTTACTGAATTTGTCACAGAACTCATTAACTGGAAACCTACCAGTAGAAGTGGGTAATCTGAAAAACATTAACGCCCTAGATGTTTCTGAAAACAATCTGTCTGGCAAAATTCCCTCAACTATTGGAGATTGCGAGAGCCTTGAATACCTTGACCTGCAAGGTAATTCCTTTCAAGGCGTCATACCTCTTTCTTTGGCTTCCTTGAAAGGCCTTAGCCATTTAGATCTTTCTCGCAATAACTTATCGGGTAACATTCCGAAAGATCTACAAAATCTTTCTTTTTTGGTGTATTTCAATGCTTCATTCAACGATCTGGAGGGCGAGGTGCCAACTGGAGGAGTCTTTCGAAATGAAAGTGGAATATCATTAATGGAAAATAATAAGCTTTGTGGAGGTATCTCAGCATTGCAGTTGCCAGCATGCCCCATCATCAAACCGAAAAAACGAGGATTATCTCATGTTTTGAAGCTGACAATCATAATTACTTCTGTTGTTCTATGCTTCCTGATGTTGTCACTCTTTCTTGTGCTGTATTTAAAGAGAAAATCAAAAAAGGATTCATGTTCTAGGCTCTCAACAGAGGACCTGGACCCCAATCACCTCTCCAAAGTCTCGTATAAAATGCTCTATGAAGCGACCGGTGGATTTTCTCCCGACAACTTAATTGGCTCTGGCAGTTTTGGCTCTGTATATAAAGGAATACTAGCTCAGGGTGAGAGTATTGTTGCTGTTAAGGTGTTGAATCTTGAACAAAAAGGCGCTTCCAAGAGCTTCGTAGCTGAATGCATGGCACTAAAGAATATCAGGCACCGAAATCTGGTGAAGATCGTAACACTATGCTCAAGCATTGATTACAATGGCAACGAATTCAAGGCTTTGGTCTTCGATTTCATGGCGAATTCAAGCTTGGAGGAATGGCTGCATAGGAGGACAGAAGATGCAACACACAGAAGAAACTTGAACTTCTTACAAAGACTCAATATTTCCATAGATGTTGCTTCAGCATTATATTATCTCCACGCTGAATGTGAACCGCCAATCGTCCATTGTGATTTAAAGCCGAGCAATGTTCTGATTGACAATGACATGGTTGCTCATGTTGGTGACTTTGGTTTAGCAAGAATACTCTCAACCAGAAATGGCGGCTCTCAAAACCAAACCAGCACAATTGGCTTAAAGGGAACTGTTGGATATGCTGCTCCAGGTAACTGTTGTTTATCACTTTGCTCTCTGCTCTGTAATATTGTCAATTTTTGCTGCAAGGATCTGGTGCTTTTCTTCAAACGAAACAAACCCCAAAAAAAAAAAAAAGAGTTCAATTGCTACTCTTTCTAGTTCTGCAGTTATTTTATGAGCAAAACCCACTAAAAAAAAAAAACCTTTTTTGAAGGGGAAGCTCTCTTTCTCTCATTTGCCTTTTGGAAGTTAAAAAAATAAAATAAAAAATAAAAAAAAACTCTTAAAGCTCGTGAATAGCAACTTATATTGAGCTTTAGTTTCATGTAAGCCTTGTAAGGCTAATTAGTTGCTTGAAACTTCTTGTTAATTTTTTTACTTCAAGAGCTAACATTAAATATTTTTCTCCTAAATATGAATCGCCAATTTATAATAATATGGTGGGGTAGCTGAATTTATTACAAACTAATAACAATTTTAAGGTATATGAATGAGCAGAGTATGGAATGGGTGGTAAGGCATCAATTGATGGAGATGTGTACAGCTATGGAGTTCTTCTGCTGGAAATGTTCACAGGAAAGAGGCCCACAGATGACATTTTTAAGGACAGTCTGAACATCCATCAGTATGTGAAGATGTCATTGCCAGAAAGACTAACGCAAATTGTTGATCCAAGCCTTCTCCGAAGCCAAGTAGAAGTCGAAACAGCGGCAGTTGAAGTAGAAGAAAAGGACACAAGTTGCAAAACAGAAGTAGAAGAAGAAACCAACAATGGTGAAAATCTTAGCCAAATGAATGGTAACATTGAAAAGTGTTTGCATGCGGTCCTCAAAATCGGAGTCGCGTGCTCTATGGAATCTCCGAAGGAAAGAATGCAGATGAGGGAAGTGATTAGGGAACTCCTTCACGTCAAGAATACTTGTCACAGTTTGTCACAGTTTTAGGCCTTTGAGTTACAGCAACATGATATGATATGTACGGACTTTTGCTGGTCTAATCCTTTTAAGTGGCTAAGGTTGTTCTAAGTTGAGCATTCTGATACCAAGTTTCATTTTCATGATTTTTCTTGCAGTGTTTCATAAAATTAAGTTTTTTCATTAAGTTTGTTCTAAGCTCTGCAATCCTTCCTATCCAAAAAATTTTAAATTTCGTTGTCATCAGTTTCATTGTTGTTCAGGATAAATGCTACAATACTTCTCTTCTTTTCATTAACAGTTTTCTCTTAATTTTACCAAGTACATGATTTATTTGTTTTGTATGTGGTTATTCTTAACTTTGTAGCTCAACATATTATTCTTAACACGTGTATGCCACTATAGGAGGAGAGCAAAATTGTATTCTCCAATTTTTTACAACCTTCTATGTATAGAGAACCAATTAGAGTTCTAGAGAAACTCTGACTTATCTTTAAGATAATATTTCAGAAAATTATAGATTAATTTAATTTTAAATCATATTTAAAATTAAATAAAATTTCCATTTATTTTGGAACAATTTTTCTCTCCTTGCACTGTAGAATTCGGCCACCACAAGGATTTCTATCTGCGGTAGGCGCCAACTTATCTAGTAGAAGGAGAAGAATTTTCTCCTTATGTTGTTGTCCAATTTTGACTCAAATTCAAATTCTCATTTAAAGTCAAACTTCAAATTAATTTAAATTCTAATTGAATAACTTGTCTAACAAGTAAACTAGACAACTTGGAGGACAAGCAACTGAATCTCATAAGAATTCTCCTTGTCACGACACTAACTACATGGCCATCACTTAAACTTACTTAACATATGTACTCTTAAATTACTTGAATTAGCGGAACTTTTTAAAAAAAATATATAATATAAATTGTAACTTAACATATTAGCATATTCTAATTTCAAAACATAAATAAGTTCATGTCTCTTAAGTCTTACTGATACATATAATTTGAGAGTCATAATTCATAAAATATTTAGTGGAAATAAATGTGAATGATATCAATTTTCTGTTCTCCACGCTAATCATATGCCGCTGCACCACTGTTCATCACTCATTTTTCATAGGTTGCTTACCTACTATATACACATACTTGGGTGAATTTTCGCTCAGTAATTGTAGGAACTATGTCTTGCAAAACAATCTAGATTCTAGAGTCTATAAATATGCATGTACCGGTTATGCTTTATTATTATCATGTCTTATTAAACTTATAGGCCCGAGTGTTCATATCGGATGAGCGTGATCAACGGGAAGTGAGGACTTGCAAGGGCCCCAATGACACCGTGATCTGACGTATTAAACTGAACATAATAAGCCTCCCCATAGGTCGAGCAGTTGGTACGACACTCAACTTAGGTTATTCTTATTAGTTTCTCACATCGTATTAGTGTGCATGCAATATGGCATGACATCGCATCCTTATCGGTCACTAGATAAGTTCCTAAGGGGTTCACAAGGTCTAGAATATCCCGTAATTGTATATAGCCGTTGGAACAAATCTTCCTTTCATTGTATATAGCTGCTAGAGTCAATTTAGGAAATATTCTTTCTATTTCCTTTTAATAGTCTCTCGTGTAAAGCATATAAATATTTACATGTATAACTTGCTCAGGACAAGGAATGAGAGTTGTTGACGGTGATTTCTCACATTTTCCCCCACAACAAGAATTATATTTTTTTCTTTAAAATTCTTAATGGGAAATAATAAGCTTTGTGGAGGGTACCGGAGCTGCAGCTACCAGCATGCCCTGACATCAAATCAACAGAACCTGGAATTTCTCATGCTATGAAGCTAGTAATCATAAGCACTTCAGTTGTCCTATGCTTACTTCTATTATCATCCTTGTTGGCACTATATTGGAAGAGAGTATCAAAGAAGACACTCTCAACAGAGATCCAGGACCTTTATCACCTTCCCCAAGTGTCGTATATGACGCGGATGACAGAGAAGTCGCCATGGAAGTGCTCAACCTTCAAGGTAGAGGCGCTTCGAAGAGCTTCATCACTGAATGCATGGCACTTAAAAATATTAAGCACCGGAATCTTGTGAAGATCATAACATCATGCTCCGGCATTGATTACCAGCGTAATGATTTCAAAGCTCTGGTTTTTGAATTCATGGGAAATTCAGGGCCCGTTAGTTCGCTGATTCAAGTTTTTAATTCGAGTTGAGATGTAACTCTATGTGAGCTTTTTACTATAACAAAAAAGTTAGATATGACTATTTATGAGAGATTTTTACTGTAACAAAACTTGAATTGGTGATATGAACGGGACCTCAAGCTCAGAGGAGTGGTTGCATCCGAGGGCGGAGAGTGAAAATCGATCAAGAAACTTGAACTTTCTGCAAAGAATACATATTGCACTTGGTGTTGCTTATGGATTGCACTATCTGCACGTCAAATGTGAACCACCAATCGTCCATTGTGATTTAAAGCCAAGCAATATCCTTCTTGACAATGACATGGCTGCTCATGTTGGAGATTTTGGTTTGGCAAGGATTCTCTCAAGCACAAATGGTATTCCTAAAAATCAAAGCAGCACAATTGGCTTAAAGGGATCTACTGGCTATGTTGCTCCAGGTAATAATTGTTTATTGCTTTGACCTTAACTCTTATAAATCCTTATACTTTTTTCAAAGATCTATCGTTTTGCCTTTCCCTTTTTTTTTCCCTTTCTTCTTTTAAAAAACAAAGACACAAGGTAACAAGATGAAGCCCAAAAAACTCAGGAATAGTATCTATATATTAGCTTTATGCTCAGGGAAGCAAGTTATTCAGTAACTCTAATTACTTGCTGAGAAAATCCTATAGAAATGCTACTTTATTTCATTGTTTTGAGTTGCATCATTTTTCAAGGGCTAAATATTAACTTGGCAGAGTATGGAATGGGTGGCGAGGCATCAATCCAAGGGGATGTGTATAGCTACGGAATTCTTTTGTTGAAAATGTTCACCGGAAAGAGGCCCACGAATGAAATCTTTAAAGAGGATTTCAATATTCATCAATATGTAAACATGGCATTACCAGAAAGAATAATGCAGATTGTTGACACAAGGCTTCTCCTGCCTGAAGTAGAAAATAATACATGCAGCCGAATAGTAACGCAAGCAAAAGGGCCAACAGCGGAGAAAACCTCAGCCTCAATAGAAGTGGAAAATAATACATGCAGCCGAATAGTAGCGCAAACAAATCTTTCAAGGGCCACAGAGATCCATTGAGTCAAGCCCCTCATGAATGGGGGTTAGGGCGGGAAAGAAAGCTCTTTCTGGACTTTAGGAGGTTGAGGGTAAGCCTTTGAAGAGGAACCCTCAGCGTGTTGGGATGTCAGAGCTACGGAATGGACCGGAACTCCTGGTTGTAGTGAAGGCCCTGTTGCCTTCGAAGGTGGAGCCTGCAGCCAACTTTCAAAAGCCGCTGGAGTGGGAGAACTCCGTCCTGTGTTGAGATGGAAAAGTGCTTACATTCTGTTCTTGAAATAGGTCTTGCCTGTTCGATGGATCCACCGAATGAAAGAACATAGATGGGAGAGGTGATTAGGGAATTACTTCCAAGTCAAGAGTGCTTTTCTTGGTGCTGTAACCAACAGGCCACACATTAGTTTGAGGGAAAGCTACACGATGTTATCCTAATTCTAAGTAGCAGACTAAAATGCTTTGAAGCAACTGAAGACTGTCTCAAGTTGTTCATTATGGGTGTCTAAGTTTCATTTTCACCAGTTTCCTATTAGTTTAGATGAAGTTGTTTGGAATGAATACTGCTTTGTTTCCCTCTTTCCTTCCCTCCTCGGGTAAATAAATTCCATATCATAGTTCTACTCTTCAGTCTAAATGAAAATTTGGAACAAAATTTGTTTACAAGACGTTATTCCCTAACCTTCTCTCTTGATTATACGAGTAAAATGCTTGTATCCACCAGTTTTCTTAATTACATGAAAAATGAAACTCCCTAACAAATGCTTGTCAAATCGATCAAAATCTCCTTTTTCAAAAGCCATATGAATGCCGCCGAACTTGCATTTGTTGTGCACCAGACATGTTTTCTATCGCCTAATATCCATTCTTAGAAGGTCTAGCTCCATCTTTTTGCACACTGAATAAATGCTCAAGAAGAGCGCTAATCACTTTGAACTCTAAAGACAACAAGAAAATAAACAAACAAATAACATGTTACGATTTGTCTATTTGACCTGTCAAATTGACCACCTTCAATCGAAATGTAAATCAGCATGCTAATAAAAATATGCAAAATCTAGCTGTCATGCTCCTAATTTTACTTGAAAGGGCAATACAAAATCAACATTCATCATATTGCAACAGCAGAATTTTACATCATGGATTCAGTCTTTCTCCCTTTGATAGCGAACATTTAAGTGTGATAGAGCAAGTGCTATGACCCCCACTTTTTTTAAGGAAAAAAATAAAGGACAAAAAAATGACCTATCACTTGTAGAATAAGATGTGAATCCTACTAGCTGTTTCCAGATGTAGAGACCTCAGTGCTGCAAACAGGACAGACCTGCAGTAAAAAAGTGAGTTATATAGAGCAGTAGCTTTTGGCTGAGTTATATTGAAAAAACAAATAATATGAATTATCTCTGAAACTCACATTCACAGATAATAACAGAGTTAGTTCTATGATAAAGATGATGAGTAACTAAGAACGAATCACATTAAAAATAAAGGTAATGAATAAATAAATAACTATGTACTAAATTTTTTTTTTGAACTTTCTATAATAGAAAACTAACTATTATCATGACATGTTAAAGAGTTCATCAAAGAACAACGAAGGATGAATAAATCATGAACTTGAAAAAATAAACATGGGATGACCTAAAAATTGACATGAAAGGAAGGAAGAACTCAAAATTTCTTAAGCATACCTTGTTTATTTTCAACCAGTTATTTATACACTCAGGATGATAGGAATGTTTGCAAGAGAGTAATGTCAAGGTCTCACCATCCTCGTAGTCCAACCGGCATATGACACACCTGAAACACGATCACATGGATAAATACAGCTTAAAACCCATAAAAGTTAAAATCTATGAAATGCATGCTCACGAATCATTGCTTCCACTCTGACTGCTTCCTGTCTTGTAGTTTACTGAAGGCAACGAGGCAATCCCAGAAGCTGAAAGACCTCTGCTCTCTGTTCCAACTACTTCACCCAAAGCAAGCAACTCCTGAAACAATTAAATGAACTCTTAACCAAACAGATAACATGTTCCAGCAGAAATACTAAAACATAAAAAATGCTAGCTTACCTCGTATGAAAGTTCATCCGGGTCAACCTCCTCCCAAGCATCCTGCAAACCCACCAGTACACGAGTGAGATAAAAAAAGAATTAACTGGTTGCTTCTATGTTTTAAAAGAAAGACTTCAAACAATGATAATGAACTCAGCATATCATATAGGTTTAAACTTTAAAACAACACAAGCATGATAGGCGCACCAAACGAAGACCTATTTTTATTTTTATTTTTATTTTTCTTTAAGTAAGACCAAAAAGAAGTGCTTCTATTGCAAAGCACTCCAGAGTTCAATAATGCATCATCTGCCAATAGAACATGCTAAACATAATCCAAGAACAAGATTTGAAAAACGTTGTGATAGACACTTAAACCTATAACAAAAGAGGCAAGGAAAGATATCAACCCCATATGAATTTTTCATCTATAATAATACAAAGCATTTTAGGTAAGACCTATAAAAGAAATAGTAACCAAACAACAGAACAATGTGGCAACATTGCCTGAATAAATTTCAGAACCTAGATCTAACATTTTTTTCAAGCCATGCTCTAATTATATACTTCTGGTTGTTTGTTCTTTGGTCATGGAAACAAGGAGAAAAGCCTTGCAAAGTTAAATGGGTCAGATTAGCCCAAAGCTCAGATACTAAACCAAAATAACTCTTGATGAGCTTCGCTCCTCAATGAGGGGAATGAGGTGAAACACAATTTCAAGCTCAAGTAGAGTCAGCAAAAGGAATTGCACTTTTAGTTAACATGCAGATAATTCACCAAATCCAAAAAATTTCACTTTTAGTTAACATGCAGAAAATTCACCAAATCCAAAAAGTGGAAAAGGAAATTAGAACCTATATACGTACAAGAAACCCTTCCAAGAACCGCTTAAGGATTACTTTTGATCTCACATTCCCCTATTATCATCTTAAGAATTAGTTTTGACCTCACTTTAACACCAGTTCAATGATCAATAACGTTAGGTCTACATAACCGTAAACCTTGGTAAATTAACCTATCACCATCACCAACCAGATCTTGATCAGTAGTTGTTTCATCAGTCGCAAGCCAATAACATTAAAGTCCATGAAATAGACAAGTTAGTTTGTTTCTTCTGTAGAAACTCACAAAGGAGAGAGCAGCATAATATGTAGACCTAGGCTGGCCAGTTCTCTACTAGCCAAAACAGCCCTTTAGTGTAATTGGACGATCTCTCAATGGTGTACTTACTTGCGTTAAACCTTTTTAGGGTAAAAGGATATAACCACATTCAGGAAAGCATAAGCAACAAATACCTGAGAATTATCACCACTTTCCTCTGGCTCGGAGTCCTCAACTTCATCTAAAAACACAAAAATGACCAGAATCTCAGACCTGCTCATGATTTCCAGACCTTCAAAAGAGAGGATTATATAATAAGAGTATACAATGATGCTCAAATAAAATACTCACGATCATTTATTCCAGCAAGAGCTAAGAGCCTAGCAGCCATCTCTCTCTCTTCAGCATCCTGTAGGGCTCTTGCATAGGCCTCGTCACTCGAAAAAACAGCCGGGTCATATTCAACACTGATGCTGTTGTCTTCACCATCATCATCATGGTGAGCATGCGCATCAAATGCATCTTCATCATTCTCGACATCAGTTCCTTCATATTCATCTTCTTCATCGCCGTCGTCGTCTGCATCCGTTTCATCATGAAAATCATTGAAATCGTCCTCATCATCATGTAAATAGCTTCCAGCTTCCCAACTTCCATAATCACTTCCATCATTGTTCAATCGTAACATCATATATGCCCTTTCCTACTCCATAAAGAATAAATATCAACTAAAGTAGTCAAGGAAAAAGAAAGACAAACAAATAAATAAATAAAACATAAAAAATACTCATTTCGCCATTAAAAACAAAACTACCTGATCCCTAGTTGTCACAGAAAACAAAGCTGAAAATATCATTTCCATTAACAGAAAGAAAAGGTGAAAAATCAATTCCCCGGAGCCAAACATCAGCATTAAGATTTAAGCACGGAAAGTATCAAGTTCAGAGTCAAATCACGAGAACCAAATAAAAACTAAAAGGGTTACTCATTAATATATTCTCCTAGCGAAAAGTACAAGTTCAGCTTCAAACTGACATTGAAAATTGGAATCAAAATCACATCCAAAAACATAAATTCCAAACTCTCTAAATCTTAACCAACATTCTCGGCAGCCAAACAAGAAAAGTGTGAACATCTTCAAAACAATTAACGAAATAACAAATGTCCACCTCAATAAACGAAATGAAAACCAACAAACAAACACCAAGAACCCTAAAGAAACGTAATCCGAGCTAAAAAAGGAGAGAAGAGAAGAGAAGAGAAGAGAAGAGAAGAGAAGAGGAAGAACCTGTTCTTGAAGGGTGCGAGCAAGGGCTAGGTCGGCATCGACTTGGCTAAGATTAGTAAAGGGAGTTCTGGAAGAAAGACGAGCAGAAGCGGCTGGCGGAGACGACTGATCAGCCATTTCCAACGATCCAGCAACCGAGTCCTGTTGCTGCTCATCGGGACGGTCGGAATTAGGGTTTTCGACCTGTTCGCCATTGTTGGCGTTGGCGTTGGCGTTGGGCTTGGGCAAGGGCAATTCCGCGTTTTGGTTGTTCTCCATGGACGGACGAAAGAAGGGAAGTTAATCAGAGACGAAGGAATTCGATCGGACTGAGATTGCGATCGAATTCGAGAGAGAAAGAGAGAGATTGAGGGAAATTGGAAGAAGAATCTGTGTGTGCGTGTGTGTGAGATACTGTTGCAGATTGAAAGAGGAGGAAAGTTTTGGGTTTTATGCAAAATTTGTGCTTGTGTAACGTGTTGGTGGAATTCGGTGGGAAATACTCCCAAAATTTTGTTTGGCTTCACTCGGAACACAATAATTTACGAAAAGGAAAAAAAAAAAAAAAAAAAAAACCGTTTACTTCGCTGATTTGAGTTTATAATTCGAGTTGAGATGTGATTTTATGTGAAAACTTTTTACTGTAGTAAAAAAATTAGATGTGACTGTTTATAAGAACTTTTTACTGTAACAAAATTCAAATTCTAAACTCGAATCGGTGAAATGAACGGGGCCTTAATTTGGGCTAATTTTAATTTTGAACACAAATGTGTATCTCACTTTTCCCTCTAAATTTTTAAATATCACACCATTAGCACCCAAAATTTACAAAAACGTTGTACTATCATGTTTACTTAATAATATTGAGGAATGTGAATAAAGAATGAGAGTCAATCATATATTTATTTATTCTTTTTTATTTTGTAATAAGAGTGGATCGGTGAATCCCACTCAAATTTAAAGAACGTAATAAGATTGGAAAGTAAAGTAAAATAATAGGATTAAGGCCTCGTTCATTCCTTTTTAAGTGTTTACTTTACTATTAGATAGTTTAATGAAAAACAATCTTATTGCGTTTCTTGTGTTTACTAAAATTAGAAATAATAGTGTTATAGATGTATATTTTGACAATTTATTTTTCTATTTTAAATAATTGTACAATTATATTTATTATTTTATTATCCTATAATTATACTAAATATTTTAATTATGATTAATTCTAATATATTAAGTGCACAATTTATTTTTTAAATTAACAAATATAAAATTACTTAAAGGGTATATTAATATTTATACACTAGTTCATTCCGATTTTGGATTTAAATAAACGCATGAATGTGATTTGTAGTGATCTTGATTTCAAATCATGTTACCAAGTTAACAACTTATTTTGACTCTGATTTCTCACTTCAAATCCTACCCGTTCTAAGTCATGCCCACTTCAATTCATATTTGTTCTGATTATGCAGGTAAACATATCATTAGTCTCTCTGTATCACTGACTCTGATTTCTCACTTCAAATCCTACCTGTTCTAAGTCATGCCCACTTCAATTTATATTTGTTCTGATTATGCAGGTAAACATATCATTAGTCTCTCTGTATCAAAACCCTTAAAAATTGACAAAATGAACATATGAGGCACACGTGGCTTGGTTTGTTAAGAAAGCCATTAATAGTGCCTTTAGTTGAAATTATCTGATTTGGAGTCAAACCAAAATTTCTTCTTCCCACCCCATGTTAAAGAACACTTGGCGGAACAACAATTTGAAGAAGGAAGTTATTTAGGTCAAGGATACTATTAATGTCATTTTTAACAATACCAACAGCATAATGTGCGTCTCACATACTCCTCGGTCCATTTTTTAATGATTCTATCACAGAAAGACCGATGGTGAAAGGTTTTGAAAGCTTGGATGCCAATAATGTGACATTTAAAAATTTAAAGGGCGTAGTGAGACAATAAAAATTCTTAAGGGCCAAAATTGAAATTAATCCTAATTTTTACATAGCAAAAATATGTTTAATTTTTTTAGAGAAAATTAATCCTAACGTGAACTTATACTATTTGGCAAGAGCATCTCGAGGAATATGTTAGAATGACTATCTAACAAAGTGAAATTAGCAAAATGACTTTCTTTATTTTTTTTGAAGAAGGACCACCTAATTATTCTTTGTAAAAAGTGGTCATTTTACAAATAAAAATTTTTAAAAAGTTATTTTACTAATAAAATTTTTCTATTGAGTTATTTTTACAAAGACCTCGAGCATCTCCGAGAAAGTATTAAATTATCAATGTCAAAGTATAGCATTTAAATAGGAAATTGGATACAAAGTGATTTTTGTTGTTAAATTTAACATAAATTGTACTTAATGCCAAATTTAACACTAAATGGATTATATGTCAAGTTTTTAAATCTAATCATTCTTGATTGATGTATTCAATTTTTCATTTAATTATTACAATATTTTTATTTTCATACTATTTTCAATTAAAAATTTAACTTTTTCCAGCATCAAATCTTTAATAAATATAACAAAACATATACATTTACAGTGTTTGAAACAGAAGCAAAAGGTAATAGCATATCAAATATGTCCTTTCATTTTTTTTTTAAATCAAACATAATATAACGTCCGTTTAATCCACTAATTCGAGTTTTTATTTTTATATTAAAAATGATCCAAGCCATTCGTTTTTAAGTATGAGATCTTTATTATATGTAACCTACTTGCAGGCACAGAGGTTACGGTGTGGTCAATTCGGGAACATCCCCCAGCGAAAAAACATTAACAAAATAATATAAAATGCAACTACTTAACAATGTGTTCCTATATTACTCTTTTGTCCCCACACTCAAAGGATCATTTACTCGGTTTTTGTGTATTGCACTGTTATAGACAAATCATTCTATCGACGTTTTGTTAATGGATTTAGAATTATTTTTAATGTATTTATATTTTTTATGAAAAAAAATATTATAATAAGTCACGAATCATAACACAAATTTATCAATCAAATGCACATTATTTTTATGCATAAGTTTATTATCCCTTCAAATCCTTTTCGGTTTTGACATTTTAATTTTTTTTCTTTTTCTCTTTTTTTTGGCTTGCTTGCATCAATATCTCTTTTTTTTACCCATTTTTTTCACTCGTTTGAGTTAACAATTTAAGTTAATAAGTAAACTCATGTGAAAAAAAAAATATTATAATAGAAAAAGTTAAATTTAAATTTTTATGAGAAAAAATATTATATTAAAAACTTGAGTTGTGATTCAAACATTACCTTCTTTCTTTCTCTTTCCTTACTTTTAACTATTTTCCTCTTAACTTAGTGTGGTAAACTTTTTTTTTTAGAAAAATTTCTTTTTAAACAGCGGTACAATGTGAATGACCCTATAGTACAAAGCATAACTCTCAATTGAGACCGGTTCCACCAGTACACATAAGTACCCTTAATGCAAAAGCTTTGTTATTCTCTCAAAACTCAAAAAAATTCTCAAATTTTTATTTTCAACATATTGGGGTCAGAATCTGTCTTCACTCTAATATTCAAATAATTCTCAAGAATTACTCGATCTTTTTTTCTCACTAGAACTTTCTCTCTCTAAATTCTAGTAAGATTGCAAGAAATGACAAAAAGATCCCATTTCGTAGGGGTACAATACAAGTATTTAAGGGACGTTTGGAAAGAGAATTCGGACCATAATTCGAATCATGGTTCGTGATTCGCTACAGTGTTTTTTCTCATAAAAAATACACGTAAAACAAAAATAATTCTGAATTATAGTTCTGAATCCATGAACCAAACATTCTCTTATAGATTTTCAATTCTTGCTCTGAACTTCCTTTAGTAAAGACATGTCCACGTCAGCTTCTCGATTCTTGACCTGAAGATCTTTTCTTTAAGTTAGGGTTCGTTTGGTTGGAGGATTCAAACCATGTGATTCGAATCATTTTCGATTTATGTGTATTTTTTGTGAGAGAAAATACTGTAGCGAACCACAAATCATAATTCGAATCAGGGAACAAATCCCTCTACCAAATGCATCTTCTGTTTGGTCTGAAACTTCTGGGTGATCAAATCTTCCGTACGGCCTTTATATTTTTCCTCTTTTATCAAAACATCGTCGTTCTCTTTTAAGCCAAACGACCTCGTTTTGTCCTGATTCATATTTTATCCCCACATCAGCCATCTTTTTCCTTATAAATTTGGAATTCTTCCAAATTTAAAAGGAAAACAACAAATTTTTGAAGACTCTTCCGTTCGGTTCTTCAACAGTTTCTTTAAATTCATCATGTCTGGTTCTGATTCTTCTTTCGAAAGCCGTCGCCTCGCATGTCAAATCCCAAATAACGTCGCACTTTCGTCCTTCCCGGAAACTGCCAATCTTTTATCGGAGAATCGATCGATCCCGAAGATGGTATTTTCTCTGGCGAACTTCTACGGGTTCTTAGATTTCCCCTTGCTACTCTGATTCTTGAATTTTTCTCTATCCTCCAAATATGCCCTTTCCACTTTCCCTTATTAGTTTCAGAATCATTTCTTGCGTCTATTTGGCAAATTCCATCGAGGGTTATGATTTCTCTGTTCACGACATCTTCGCCGTTTATAACCGTATTGAAGTTCAAACCCAATCTCACCATTATCACCTTCGTCCTCGAGAGGATTGGCATTTGTTTTCCAACTTTGATTTTTTTGAACCTGTGGGTTGGAGAGATTTCCGTTATTCGGGTTCAGGGTTTTTGGCGTGCTAACCTAGGAATTCTTTTCCCAACTCATCTCGGTCAAGTTTAGGATGAAATTCTAGATAGCCTAAAGAGAAATGTCGATGACCGGCGATATTACTCTCTCTGCAAAATTTCTCACGGAAACCGTTTGGATGCTGGGAAGTTACTTTCTGAAAATGCCCTAGGAAGGATGACAAATGAACATTTTAGCGCTCTTTTCCTTTCTGCCCCAAATTCTCTTCCTGCTTGTAATTTTGCAATAATTTTGTGTTAGCATAATAATGCTTTTGAGATATTTTGATTCTTAAGAAAGATTTATTTATTTCATATATTTATGTATTATCATTTTTACGTTGATATTAGTTGGATATATGATAAGTAAATTCGAAGTCTGAGACCGTTGTTCTAAGTCTTTAAATTGTGCATGTAATGAGAAGAACATGCATAATATATGAATTTAAAAATGATAGTCTAAAAAATATGATCCACAATCGAGGGAATAAACGTTTTATTCATGTTAAGATTGTTATATTGTCTACTTCTTAACGAAGACAACTTATTTTGATCATCGGAGGTGGGACTCCATTGTAATGATCGGAAAACTCCTGATATTAATTAGTATAATTTACGTAATTAAATCATGGATTTCTTAGATAATGACATGTTTTGTAATGAAGTATTTATGGAATTAATTAAATCACGAGAGAAACTTTCGATTCGATTATGACTCGTGATTCT